ATTAAAAATTTGATTTTTTTTAAAAACCAAACGGGGGTAAACATCAAGAAAAGTGAGAAAAAAAATTAGCATAAACCTAGGCATCCCTCCAATAGAGGGAGCGATGCGACATAGGCCCTTTGTTTTTGGCCTAGCGTTGAGACCGGTCAAACAGCAGATCTCCAAAAATTATCAATGATGGCACAATCGAAGGGAGTAGGTGAGAGAAAATTAAGACCTTGTTTCGTCCTATTTTTTATGAAATATATATATATATATATTTTTTTTTAACTACACATTTTTTAATAAAATATATTAAACGTAAATTTAAATTTTTTTAAACATGTATTTTCAATCAATTTATTATTTAAAAATACATTTTTAGCATTTTAATGGGGCTCAGACTAACAAGCTCTAAGAGAGAAAATTTATTCCATTTAATTTTTTTTATAAATATTTTCTATGGTATTGGTCAGAGAAGGTGATGCATTAAGTCAAGCTTCGTCACGTTGAAAAATGCGTACGTCATAATTATCCCCATTTGCTCAAAAGCGTACGTTCGTGGTCTCCGATAAAATTTGAAATCCCGCGCGAGCACTCATTTTCATTGATATCTCCGAAACCATTATCCATTCTAAATTCTACATACAAAATTCAAGCCCTAACTTTTCTCTCTCTAAAATCACCTGTCCAATCCAAGCAAAATCCTTTGGTACAATATAAACATTACTCTACATATTTTGATTTATTTTCATGGAATAAATTAAACGAATCTTAGATGATTACGTCGCTGAGATGCATATGCTTTGGTAGTTTAATAATTAATTAATCAGTTTTTATGCTTCAGGCTCTGTATTATCCATTTCATTTATTCTTTTCTATCAATTTCTTTTCTCGGTATAGGCTATTATTAATTTATAATGTTTTTGCATTTTAGGACATTAATTTATTCATTTACCTAACTGTCGCCTGCGTGATTAGTGATTCGTTGCACGTTGTTCCGTGTTTTTTATAATTCTTATCAAGTTATCCGAATCCGGATAGCGTAAATGTGTGTGTGTGGTGGGTAATATCTATAAGCAGTTGGCGTGCCATATCTTTCACATAATCTTAGGATCTAGATTTGCTTTGCTTGAACTTCAAGGTCTATATTGTTCTTAATTTTGGATTAACTGAATTTTATTTTCTAAAAGTGAATCCTCATTTTGTATGAGCCTCTTTACATATTCATTTAGATATCAGTTTAGGATTGTTGGACAATACTTGCTACTTGAACTTGGCAGTTTGAATTGTTAGTGTTGAAATGTGACTTCTAATAGTGCATTCTGAGAAGCGTTAACTATTTATATTTCTGTTTAGGGCTTTTTGGGTAAGTATTCATTAAAAGAATTTCTACGCGACTCATCAATACTTTCTTCACCTGTTAAGTTTAATTAATGGCTGAAGGTAATAATTTATCCATTCTGTTTGTCGCTGTCTGCATCTTCAAGACATTGGCGATACAATTATAAACTATTGATCTTGATTACTTATTTTGGAGGGATGGATGGGGGAAATGATGCCTAAGGATAATTGCAATCGAGTGCATAGGTATAAGCAGAATTTTGGTCAGTAAGTACAGAAATATGTGAGCTGTTTGTCAATGTTCCTTCTTTCGCAGTGTTCTTGTAATTAGTTCGCTAAAGATGCAATTCCTGATCAACTGATGAACTATATTTGGGGGGGGGGGGGGGGGGGGGGAAAATTG